ACTGGAGGAAGTGTGCACACGCGAGGCCACTGGAGGAAGTGTGCACACGCGAGGCCACTGGAGGAAGTGTGCACACGCGAGGGCACTGGAGGAAGTGTGCACACGCGAGGGCACTGGAGGAAGTGTGAACACGCGAGGGCACGAGAGGAAGTGTGAACACGCGAGGACACTAGGTCAGCTCAGGGGGAAACAGAAGACATTTCCGCGCACCGGGCTCCATGCAGGCAGGCCAGGCCTCGCGCACCGGTGTGTCTTGCGTGTCTTGCCTTCTGGGCCTGTTGGCAGGCGACCCGCGGCCCCTGCGTGCACACCTGTCTGCCCTGGACCCAGGTACATGTCGTGAACAGAAGCACCGAGAGCTCACTCCCCTGTGCCTCTTCACAGCCACTATGCTGGCCTGAGCTTCCGGCTGCCCTACTACTGGCCTCCCTGGCCTGTTCTAGAACCTTCCAGACCAACTTCCCTCAGCAGCACAGGGTCGTCTGAAGCGTCCATCATTTCCCATGCCCAAGGTCACCCGATTGAGTCGTGATGTTTGGGGGCTGTGGGGCCGGTGTGTTCCTCTCCTCTCCTCTCCTGGGACCAGTCAGGTTCTCCAGAACAAAGCCCAGTTTTCCTTTTAGCAGGTGGCTTGTGCAGGTTCTCAGTCCAAAGTCCGAGTGGGTGGGCTGGCAGGCAGGGGCCCAGGAAGGCTGGGGCTCAGGATCCCCTCCTGCTCATGATATTCTTTTGTTGTATTTAGCCCTTCAACTGATTGGGCCAGGCCTACCCACACCACAGAGGACAATTTGCTTTATTCAAAATACACCAATGGAAACATTTGGCATGGTGGTGCCTGTCTGTAATCCTAGCATTCAGGTGGCTGAGAAAGAAGAATCTTTGGTTTAAGGCAGCCTGGGTTACATAGCAAGATCTTGTCTAAAAGAAAGAAAGAGAGAAAGAGGGAAGGAAAGGAAGGAAGGATGGAAGGAAAGAGGGAGGGAAGGAGGGAGAAAGGGAGGGAGGGAGGGAGGGAGGGAGGGAGGGAGGGAGGGAGAAAGGAAGCAAGCAAGCAAGCAAGCAAGCAAGCAAGGTTGGCTAACTGCTCCCCAAACACCTTAACAGAAACTTCCAGAATAATGTCTGACTCATTATCTCAGCACCACAGCTCAGCCATCTTTCCCCATAAAAGTAGCCACTCATACCCCAGAGGGCATTGTTCCTCTCCATGCTGAAAGCGTGGCACAGTCCAGGATCTGCAGGAGGATTCCAAAGCCGTGGGGACAGGGCATCTGCCCTCTCCTGCCTCCTCAGCCCGCAGTGACCAGGACCTGCACACACCACCCGCCCCACCTGCAGCCCTGTCCCACCCCCCCCCCCCCCCCCAGCCTGCCCGAGGTTTCCCTGGAAGCCTGCCTCTGCAGTGTTGTCTGGAGGAGCCTGCAGCCTGGCCCAGCTCAGCGGCCTCCAACAGCACAGGTACGCACCCCACACCATGGCTTCCTGGATCTCCACAGAGCATACATGCTTCCATTGTCATATGGCAGTGGTGACATAAACCCCCTCCCCTTTGATTTTTGGCGATTGTGGGTCTTGAACTCAGGGTCTAGGCTACGTTCCTGAGTTCTTTTGCTCAAGGCTAGTGCTCTACCACTTTGAGCCACAGCGCCAATTTTGTGGTGGTTAACTGGAGATAGAGTCTTGTGGACTTTCTTGCCCAGGCTGGCTTTGAACCACGATCCTCAGATCTCAGCCTCCTGAGTAGCTAGGATGACAGCTAGGATGAGCCACCAGTGGCTAACTGGATTTCTCTTCCTTTTTTTTTTTTTTTTTTTTGGGTCCGGTCGTGGGGCCTGAACTCTGGGCCTGGGCACTGTCCCTCAGCTCTTCAGCTCAAGGCTGGCGCTCTACCACTTGAGCCACAGCGCCACTTCCGGCTTTTTTCTTTTTGCTTATATGGTGCTGAGGAATCGAACCCAGAGTCTCAGGCTTGCAAGGTAAGCACTCTACCACTGAGCCACCTTCCCAGCCCTGGATTTCTCTTCTTATGAGCCAGTCTTTCAGCATTCCCTTCCTTCTTGAATGCTGGGCCTTGCTCCTGTACTCTGAACACGCGCGCGCGCACACACACACACACACACACACACACACATTTCATTTATTTATTTAGTGGCAGTCCTGGGGCTTGAACTCAGGGCCTGGGCATTGTCCCTGGGCTTCTCCACTCAAGGTTAGTACTCTACTGCCCAAACCACAGCTCCACGTGCATATTGTTTTCTCCCACTTTCAGTGGTTAATTTCAGATAAGAGTGTTTTGGACTTTTCTCCCTGGCTGGCTTCAAACCTTGATCCTCAGATCTCAGCCTCTGGAGTAGCTAGGATGACAGGCGTGAGCCACAGGACCCAGGATGCTCTTTATGGCTTTCTTTAGTAAAGGGCGATTAGTGGTATACCTCTCAACCTCTCTGAAATACATTTAATTTTTGGAAAAAATACATTTGTTTGGCAAATGTATTTATCTAAAGCTTGAAATAACCTTTCAACTTTTAAGACCTTTCTCTTAGGAAAGTTTGAACAGTCCACTATATTAAGATGCCTTCTGTGTCCTGATTCTGCAGTTGCAGATTTAACTAGATTAAAAGGAACTCAAAAGAATAGAATCCTAACACTTTCTAATCAGCAACTTCTTTAGATTTGCAGAGCCTGGAACATCCGGTACCTGCAGAGGGCCCAGCACTGTGGCTCTGTGTTCTGGCTTTCCAGATAACTCTTTTATTTGTCCCGATAGTTTGGCCTTGGGTCACTGGTGGAGTTGGTGGGAAGCAAGGGATGTGGGCCCAGGGTCACAGGACCCCACCCCACGCCCTGTGCTGCCTCCCACGGGGCGGCTTCCCTGGAAGCTTTGTTTGGGCACCGCTTGTGTGGCCAGAGCCTGAACCAAACCTGGACCCCAGATCCAGGAGGGCCCTAGCTGTGCTCAGGATGCAGCTGGCCTGTCTGGCGGGCAGGCAGGCTCTAGAGATCTAGCACCCTATGTAGCCCTGCCTGTAGCCACTTCTTCCCCTGATTCTGTCTTCCATGCTAAAAGTGACTTAGAGACCTTTTCTCTACCCTAATGCCAGTCGGGTCCCCTCAATCTCTCTTGCCCGCCCCTTCCTTCGTCTCTCTCCTCAAAATCGCCCAGTGAAGCAGTGAGCAGACAAGGGTCTAGAGCCGAAGCTTCTTGGGTTCTGAGGGTGGCTGTCATCTGATCACCGGGTGACTCTAAGCAGGGGTGCAGCCTCTCTGGGCCGTCTCCTCATCTGCAAAATCAGAAATGAAAACAGTCCCTGCACAGTAGGATTAATAGGAGTCCGTACTGAGATAATATATGTGCTTTGAGCAAGTGAGACGGCGTATGTGCTCAATCATGTTATATGAGGTGACTATCGGGCAAAGGTGTACTCTTCTAGTGATCAGCTCTGTGTGGTCATGCATGCCTGTAATCCCAGCACTCGAGGCTGAGGCTGTAGTGAGAAGACAATGAATAAACCCAGCTTGTGCTGTATTTCTGGAATATAAGCATACTAGCTAGCATAGAGGCTCACTACCTGTGATTCTAGCCACCCAGGAGGCAGAGGTTTGGGAGGAACAAATTTTGAGGCCAGCCCAGGCGGAAGAGGTTGGGGGCCTCCCATCTCAGGCCAATGCGAAGCTGGGTACAGTACCTGTGCCGGTCACCCCAGCTGGGGCCACCCCATGTCACCCTGGCCTAAACAGGAGGCCAGCCGTCCAAGCCTGCCCTGGCAAAAAAGCTCCCTCCTACCGGGGAAATGAAGAAGGGAAAACAAACGGCTGGGCCGGCCCCGCGGCACAGCGCCCGCCTGGGGAATGCAAGCCCCGAGTTCAAACCTTAGTTCCACCTCCCTGATCATGAGTGTCACGCAGGGCTGGGCGGAGACCGGGAGCTGTGGCTTCCCCTTTCCCGGGGCGGGGCGAGCCGCGGGCACCTGTCCACGCCGGCGACGCTGGCCAAGGGCTTCCCGGAGCCGGGCAGGGCTGGCGAGGGGGCCGCGGCCGCCCTTCCCACGCCCGCCTGGGGGGGGGGGGCCCGGCGTGGGTGTGGCCGCGTCCGGGTCAGCGCGACTCTCCTGCGGGCAGGGACGATCGCGGAGGGGGGGAGGAGGAGGGAGGAGGAGGAGGAGGAGGAGGAGGGATCCCGAGCCCCAGACTCCCGCGCGCGTGAACGAGGGCCGCGCGGAGCCCGCGGCCGCGGCCGCCCTCCTCCGCTGCGTCTTTGTGCGCTCCGCCGGCGTCGGCAGCCGAAGCTCCCCGAGAATTTCCAGGGGGGCCTTGGCCCAGCGGAGGGGGAGGGGACCCCGCCTCGCCCGGTAGGTGGGGGTGGGTGGGGAGGGCGCGTGCGCGCGCGCGCGGGCGAGGGCGCGGGAGGGCGGGCGACCCGCGGCGGGGTCGGAGCCCCAGGCGCCCCCCGCCCCGCGCGCCCCCCGCCGCCCCCGGCCCCGCGCGGCCCCCGCCCCGGCTCCGCCCCGCCTCTCGCGCGGGGTCCGCGTCTGCGGCTGCGTTCCCCGAAAGACGAGGCTGCGCCCGGGCTCGGGTCCGCAGGGAGACCGAAGGGCACCGCTCCCCGCGCCGCGCCCGCCGCCCCTCCGCGCGCCGACACCCCAGGGATGTGAGTGCGCCCCCCCAGCCCCGAGGCCCGCGCCCCGCGCCCCGATCCGCGGTGAGCGCCGGGGCGCGCGGGAACCGGGGACGGGGCTCGGTGCGGGGCTCCCGGCCCGGGGGTGGGACCGGGAAACGCGGCGCCCCTCCCCAGCCCCCCGCCCCGGGCAGAGGAACGGGGTACGGGGCTCGCTCCCCCCCAGCGCCGGCGGGGGGTGGGGCCTCGCGGGCGGGACGCGGGGCCCGCGGAGGGCGGGGGGTCCCCGAGGCCCGGCCGGGCGCCGGCTGTGCTGACCGCGGCGTCTCCCGCCAGGCCCGCGTCCCGGAGGACCCCCGCCCGCAGCCCGCGCCCCGCCGCCCCGCCGCGCGCCCCGAGCATGCTGTCGGCCGCCGCGCGGAGCCTCGGCCTGGCGCTGCTGGCGGCGCTGCTGTGCCCCGCGCCCGGTGAGTGCCCCGAGGGCGGGGCCGGGCCCGGGTCCTGGGGGGGGGATCGCGGACCCCACCCGAGGCTGCCCCGCCCCGCGGGGCTGTGCGCCCCAGCACCCCGGGCCGGGCTCCGCCTCCCGCCTCGCGGGGGCCCCAGCGGGGCTCCGCCCGGCTCTGGGGGCGGTGGGGGGCAGCGCGGGGTGCTGGGGGCCGCGGCCCCGCAGCAGGTGGGACGGACAGGTGCTGGGCCTGGCCGGTCACCCTCGGCCTGGGAACCCTTGCAGCGAATGGCCTGTGGTGCCAGGACTGCACGCTGACCACCAACTCCAGCCACTGCACGCCGAAGCTGTGCCCGCCGTCGGACACCGTGTGCGCCAGCGTGCGCATCACCGACCCCAGCAGCAGTGAGTCCCGCCCGCGCAGGGCCGGCTGGGGGGCGGGGGGGGGGGGGGGGGGGAGGGGGGTCCTTGGTCGTGTCCTCCCAGGCCCTTTGGCTTGGGGCAGGCGGGTGGGTTGGGGGCCTTGCTGTGGTGGGCCAGCGGCCTCCGCTCTGCCCGGCCCTGGCCCTGTGTGGAGCAGGCGTGGAGCTGGGGTCTGGAGGGCCTGGAGGAGCCGCAGCCCTGGCCCATCTGTCTTCCCAGGCCGGAAGGACCATTCGGTGAACAAGATGTGCGCGTCCTCCTGCGACTTCATCAAGCGCCACTTCTTCTCAGACTATCTGATGAGGTTCATTAACTCGGGGATCTTAAAAGTCGACGTGGACTGCTGCGAGAAGGATTTGTGCAACTGGGCAGCCCCCGTGGGGCTCAGCCCCTGGGCCCTGACCTGGGGGCTGCTGCTCAGCCTGGGGCTTGCCGTCCTCAGGGCCGGGCCCTGAGGTCCCTTCCTCCCGTGGGCCTTCCTCCCGCGTCCCCTGCCTGCCTGGCGGGAGCCGGGGCAGCGGTGGCCGCATTGCGGTCTGTGGCGCACACCATCTCCAGATGGGAGGCCGCTCCACCAGCCCGGAGCTCCAGGTAGCCCGATCTCCCCAGGAGGTCAGGCATCCTGGCAAGAAGCTGGGGGCAAGGGCAGGGGGCTGGGACCCCCAGCCCCTGAGGGGAAGGGAGGCTGGGCCAAGTGCGGCCCAGTGGCCTGGCCCAAAGGGCATCTTCTACCGAGAAATAAAGTCGCTTCTGAGTCCTGAGGCCCGGGTCTGAGCCTGGGGTGGGTCGGGCAGATGGCAGAGCGGAGAGCTGAGACACTAGAATTGGGGGGAGGGTTGGTCACGCATGCTCTGGGTGGCGTGCCATGCTGCCCGGATGGGAGCCAGTGAGTGGTGGGCTTAGGGGACAGGGTCGCAGGGCAGGCCCGGGGGTGAGGGTCGGAACCTGTGTGCATGCGCCAGATGCCAGAGACACCGGCGATGCACAGTGCCGCACACAGGCGCCCAGACGCAGCACTCCGCGTCTGCCCTGTGCTCACGGTCATGTCTGTGCACACTGGCATTCTGGCAGTTTCCCTGACAGAGGTGTGCGGCACTCAGCCTCCTCCAGGCTAACCCCTGTCATTCTTGGGGGACTTTGGGGGCTGGGGGGACCTTGGGGGCTACTTCTGGCAGGTGTGGAGCCCCCACTGCCCAGGGGGTCAGGGCCTGAGGAAGCTGAGCCCTTGTGAGTGGTGTGGGGAGGGACAGAAAGGGAGCTGCTGGGCTGGGAAGGTGGCTCAGTGGTAGAGCGCTTGCCTTGCATGCATGAGGCCCTGGGTTCGATTCCTCAGCACCACATAAGCAAAAAGAAAAAAAAGCTGGAAGTGGCACTGTGGCTCAAGTGGTAGAGCACTAGCCTGAGCTGAAGAGCTGAGGGACAGCGCCCAGGCCCAGAGTTCAGGCCCCAGGACCGACCCCTCCCCCCAAAAAAAGAAGAAAAAAAAGAAAAAGAAAGGGAGCTGCTGTCCTGGTCTCCACAGTTCAGCCTGGAGCCCTCTGTCCGCCTTTGCCCCTGGGCCTCTCTGCCAGGTGCATCCAGGTGACTTGTCACGCTGCCCAGGCTTGCTCTGTGGTAGACACCCAGGGCCTCTGTGCGCAGGGCCAGTGGGGGTTCCTACCACCAGTGGCTCACCGGGCCAGGGCCAGGCCTTGGGCATCTCCGAGAGGGAAGTGTTTCCTGCAGACTCTGCCCTGGACCTGGGAGTGATGAGCCGTCCAGGCCCAGAGGAGAGCGGGCAGGGTCTCTGGCTGAGTCACGTTGGCTCCCTGCTGGGAGGGCCCTGTCCCCAGCCGGCTCCTGTCATTTGGATTTTGCTCTGCTGTGCGATCAGCCCCAGCCTGCCTCACCCTTCACGGTGCTCCCTCCCGGTGCCGCGGGAGCACTGGCGGATGCAGGAGGAGGATGCACAGAGAGGCTGGCATGCTGAAGCCCTGGAGTGACGGGAGCCGAGGGGGCGTGGGGCTCCCAGGAGGGTGTCCTGCCGGCACAGGGAGGCGTGCCTGGAGCGGGCATTTAGGGAAGGCCCTGTGCGCTGAAGTGATCCAGAGACTTGAGCCATGCCCAGTCTTTGTGCTTTATTATTTTCTTCCAGGTAGACTTATTGGAGCCAGCCTCAGATCACGAGCCTCCTACCGATGGCCTTCCCATGTAGCTAGGATGCCAGATGAACATCACTGTCCCTGGCTGATGGAGTGAGATGGGGGTCTGGCTAACTTTTTGGCAGAGAGCTGTCATGAGCGTGATTCTCCTCGTCTCCTGACTGCCTCCGGAGTAGCTGGGCTACCTTTTGTTTTCAGGCTTGGCGCCGCACTCCCCGAAAGAGCCAGCTCTGGTTTGTTCGGGTAACCTTCATGGCTGGTGCAGGGGTCTGTTTTCAGGGTTCTGCCCTCAGCCCCTGTGAAGGGACCGTCCCTCTCCTCACTTCTCTGTGGTCTCATGGCCGAGGTGACCGCATGTGGGGCTGAAGCCCAGCCAGAGAGGAAATCATTTTGTTTTTGCCAGTCCTGGGGCTTGAACTCAGGACCTGGGTGCTGTCCCTGAGATTCTTTTGCTCAAGGCTAGCACTCTACCACTTGAGCCTCAGCACCACTTCCAGCTTTTTCTGTGTATGTGGTGCTGAGGAATCAAACCCAGGGCTTCATGCATGCCAGGCAAGCACTGTACCACTGAGCCATATCCCCAGCCTTAGAGAGGAAATCTTGCAAGGAAATAGCCAGGCTCTGTCAGCCTCTGCCCCGCGCCCCCCCCCCCCCACCCAGCTTCCCCGCGGCCACGACGCTCCATTTAAGGCGGCTCAGCTCATTTGGTGAGAAGCAGAGCCCTGCTGTGCTTCCATTTTCCAGCTGACCGGCTGTTCCGCATCCTCTGTCCCCTGGGCTTCCAGACCTCCTGTTTGCCCCCCAGCCTCCTGCTCTGGCCTTTGCCACCCTTCGAATACCAGTGGCCGAGCTTGCCTGGCTGTTTGGTGAGCGCCACGCTGCAGGGTCTGGCATCACCGTGCGTGTGGAGTGGTCTGGGGGCTTCGTAGCCCACGAGAACCCCTGTTCCCCTGTGCACAGTCTCGTGTGTTCTAGGGCTTCACAGATTCAGTTCCTACAGCTCACACCCACGCATCTGCCTTTACTTGAGGTGAGGCTGGACAGAGGGAGGGCCTGCCACGCCGCTTTTCCTCCGTGCTGTTTAAGAAGCGACCTGTCCTCCCCTGCTCGCTCCCCTGCACACACCGGAGGCTGAGCTGACCCGCGGGCCTCCCAGGCCAGCGTCCCTGCTCCCTCCTGGCCTGAGTCAGGGGTACAGTGACCGCAGCGGCTTGCACAAGCCCTGTCCACATCTGTCTTGGCAGGAGAGGACACCCAGGCCCCAGGCACCCCCGCGGGGTCGAGCTGGGGCTCAGCCCTTTCTGAGTTTCACTCAGAGCCTCTGGGCAGCGGCTCTCCATCCTCCTGAACTCCAGATGCGTCTATCACTGAGCACTCATTGTTTCTGGGGCAAACGGGACTGCCTGCGCTCCCCTGGACTTATCTGGCCACCTCCGGTGTGGGGGAGGCTGTCTGCGCCTTCCGTGGGCAGGGCTGCCAGAGTTCCACACCACAGAAGCAGGGGGCCGGGCTGCACGGTGCGCTGGAGTGCCCTGGACGGGGGAAGCTAGCGAGGAGCTTCGGTCTCTGACTCTGTTTCCCAGAGCCTGAACTCGCTGTGCCCCGGCCTCTGAGAAGTGTGGGGACGGAGGCAGGCAGCCCGAGGGGCTGTGCACACATTCTAAAGTGGGGTGTGTGGGGCTCCCCGGGACCCCGCCACCTCCCTGCCTGGGATATCCGCAGGCCGGGGCCTCGGGATGCACAATGTGACCGTGGGTGGCCACAGGCTGCCCTGATTCCACATCCCGTGGTGCGGCCAGTGGGTGGGATGGGGGGCCACATCCAGAAAAGGGGTGGCCACTGCCCTGACGGTGGTGGAGGACCCTAGGGGCAGGGCTATGGACACCTGAGTGGACACCTGTGGGCCACCCAAAGTGCGGCATCGTCCAGGGAGGGAGATGGAGCACTGTGTTCACTCAGACACTGAGTGTCTATTGGCCCCCGGGAATGGATGGATCTGTGGTACACTGTGTTCCTTGTCCAGCTACATAGGCTCTGAGCGCACGGCCCCCAGCACAGACCCCACGCTGTCCACCCAGTGCAGACCCCACACTGTCCATCCAGCACAGATCCCACACTGTCCACCCAGAGCAGACCCCACACTGTCCACGCAGAGCAGACCCCACACTGTCCATGCAGAGCAGACCCCACACTGTCCATCCAGCACAGACCCCACACTGTCTACCCAATGTAGACCCCACACTGTCCATGCAGCGCAGATCCCACACTGTCCACCCAGCACAGACCCCACACTGTCCACCCAGCACAGACCCCCACACTGTCCACCCAATGTAGACCCCACACTGTCCACCCAGTGCAGACCCCACACTGTCCACCCACTGCAGAACCCACACTGTCCACCCAGCACAGACCCCCACACTGTCCAGCCAGCGCAGATCCCACACTGTCCACCCAGCGCAGACCCCACACTGTCCACCCAGTACAGATCCCACACTGTCCACCCAGCACAGATCCCACACTGTCCATCCAGAGCAGACTCCACACTGTCCACCCAGCACAGATCCCACACTGTCCACCCAGTGCAGATCCCACACTGTCCACCCAGTGCAGACTCCACACTGTCCACCCAGTGCAGACTCCACACTGTCCACCCAGCATAGACCCCACACTGTCCACGCAGAGCAGAACCCACACTGTCCACCCAGAATAGACCCCACACTGTCCTTCCAGAGCAGACCCCACAGTGTCCACCCAGCGCAGACCCCACACTGTCCATCCAGAGTAGACCCCACACTGTCCACCCAGAGCAGACCCCACACTGTCCACCCAGCATAGACCCCACACTGTCCACGCAGAGCAGACCCCACAGTGTCCACCCAGTGCAGACCCCACAGTGTCCACCCAGTGCAGACCCCACACTGTCCACCCAGCATAGACCCCACACTGTCCACCCAGAGCAGACCCCACACTGTCCACACAGAGCAGACCGCACACTGTCCACCCAGAGCAGACCCCACACTGTACACGCAGAGCAGACCCCACACTGTCCACCCAGTGCAGACCCCACAGTGTCCACCCAGCGCAGATCCCACACTGTCCACCCAGAGCAGACCCCACAGTGTCCACCTAGCACAGACCCCACACTGTCCATCCAGAGCAGACCCCACACTGTCCATGCAGTGCAGACCCCACACTGTCCATGCAGTGCAGACCCCACAGTGTCCACCCAGCGCAGACCCCACACTGTCTACCCAGAGCAGACCCCACAGTGTCCACCCAGAGCAGACCCCACACTGTCTACCCAGAGCAGACCCCACACTGTCCACCAAGAGCAGAGCCCACACTGTCCACCCAGCGCAGACCCCACACTGTCCACCCAGCATAGACCACACATTGTCCAACCAGCACAGACCCCACACTGTCCATCCCGAACAGACCCCACACTGTCCACCCAGCGCAGACCCCACACTGTCCACCCAGCATAGACCCCACACTGTCCACCCAGCATAGACCTCACACTGTCTACCCAGAGCAGACCCCACACTGTCCACCCAGCACAGACCCCACAGTGTCCACCCAGAGCAGACCCC